GATGAAAGGAAGAGAACGAATGTATATATACTTCTCATTCATGCGTTACATTACTGCAGTATGCAATATTTCATATGTATAAAACAATGTGATCGTTATTTTTCTAGTTGATAGACACGTGTACAATGAATCTTCCACGAATTGGTCGGCCTGCACCAGATTTTAAATCCAAAGCAGTACTCAATGATAAAGTATTCGATATATCATTGAGTGATTATGATAATAAATATCTCGTTTTACTCTTTTATCCAACGAACTAGTAAGTCTATTATTCAGAATATATAAATATCGATGTAACTTTTTTTGTTCAAAATTCTAGTGGTTATGTTTGTCCAACAGGTCAGTTTGAAATAAATAAAAATAAAGAATTTTGTCATAGAAATGTTGTTGTTTTCTTCTAAATAGAATTAATTGCATTCAGTGATCATATTAAAGAATTTGATAAAATAAATGCAAATGTTGTTGGTTGTTCAATTGAAAGTCATTACAATCAATTACATTGGTTTGTCGAATGACTTTAATTTCTTTTTTTCAATTTCTTTTTGTCTATCAGGTTAAGTATGACACATGAACAAGGTGGTATACGTGGTATTCGAATTCCATTGATTGCTGATAAATCAATGAACATTACTAAAGCATACGGCGTACTTAATGAACAAGAAGGAATTTGTTATCGGTTTGTTTTTGTATAATTTTATTAAAACATGCTTTTTAATATTATTATTGATAGAGCAATGTTTATTATCGATGATAAAGGTATTCTTCGACAAATTACTATCAATGATCGTCCTGTAGGTCGAAGTGTTTCTGAAGCTTATCGAGTAATTCAAGCTATTCAACAAGCAGATAAATTACGTGCAGTTACACCAACTACAAGTTTTGTTGAAGGTAAGAAAAATCTGTCTATGTTAAATATCTATCATTTTTTTAAAATAGTGACACCATCAAATAGTCGAAAACCTAGACCACTTATATGTTCAGAGAAAAGTTTACTTCGTGAAGTAATCGACTCATAATAAACATAAAACAACACCTCTTCTTTTCAGAAATTGTCTTTTCTTTGTTGATTAAAAATAGATGTATGTATACTTTCTTTGATAATTCTACTATTTCAAAAAGTTTGAATAAATACGATTAGCGGAGTATCAGATTGACTAAAAAACGCCGAAATAATTTTATTATATTGTTTTTTTTCCTTCTTAACATAAAACCAACAGAGGAATGTAAAAAAAAGAAAAACACTTTTTTTTGTCTGTACAGATTAAAAACGAAAAAAGAAAATTTTTTAGAAGAATTTATAAATCATAATAACAAATGTTTATTCTAATGATTTATTATCGATGAAATCTTTCGATATTGATTTCTCTTCAAGATGTTCATCACTATTTGATCGAGTAAGATTATTACGTATTGGTAATGGTGTATGATTTGATATACTTGATGTATGTTCACCAGTAATTGATGTTTGATGAATAGTAACATCATTCTCATCTGATAATATTTCATCAGATAAAACTTCATCATCAATTCCATTTTTTACAACAAGTGTATCACATGTTAATCCATCATTATCAATTGTACCTTTTGATGAACGATTTTGTTTTAATAAAGGTGATGATATACCACCAATATCATCATCATTTGTTAAATTTGGTGGATTACCTGGTGAATTTTCAAGTTGGTAATTATTCGGTTCAACAGATGGACGTTTTTGTTGATGTTGTGCTTGTCGATGTTCATGTTCTTGCTCTAATAATTTCTTATTAACATTACTTATTAGGCAAGGACAAATAAATGCAAGAAATTTTCTCCAACATATTTGACGTGCTGTTAATGTTCGTCGTGAAGAAAATGAACTTGTTGTACGACGTTTTTCATTACGCATTGGAATTGATGAATGACGATGACGACTAAATGATATACGAAAAACTGATAAACGTGTTGATAATGTATCACCAGCTGAACTACGTCGTACAGTATCATTACTTAATAAAGTACGTTGAACTTGTCGAAGAACTTCATAACGAATTTCCGTATTAAAATAAAAATATATTAATGATGTAAAAAATCCCTTAAGAAGAAGAAGAAAAAAACAATTTCTTTCAAATTAAATCCTTTAGTAATACCTGTAAGTCACCAAAAATAGCTTTGAATATAACAACAATAAAATACCACTTAGTATGACCTTGATTTTTATGATAGAAAATCCACATAACACATATTGAATGAAGACCAAATAATGGGATTAATATTAGTATTGATTTGATAAGATGTCTAAGATAATGAGTAATATACACGAGAGAGTTTAGTTTATTCTCTATAGAATTTTAGTAGTAAATTTAATGATACTAACATAAGTACATCTTAGTGAGAATAATGTTAGCTACGTTTTTTTTATCTTAGATACAAGTACTCAATGTAATTAGTATATAGATATCTGATTTTATCGATAAAAATTTTATGTACCAACTAAATTCTGTATTCTCACCTATTTCCCGTTCGATTTGTATGAGCATTATTTGATTGATATTTTGAATAGAGTAATCGTACAAGATATAAAAATATGCCAAAATTAATGAATAAATAAAACGCATATGGAACATAAAAGAAATAATAAAAATATGTTGTGGTATCAGCTTCTAACCAACATGTTGATCGATCTTTTATTTTATCTGTTATGATATGTGATGCAATCCACATTGTTAACCAAACTAATGGACTTAACCAACCCCATAGAACAAATAATAAACAACCACGATCACGAAATAAATGACTTGTCAATGCTGTAAATAAAAACATTGCTTCACAAAAGATAAATGTTTGAGAAACAGCATCTGTATACCAAAATAATGATGATAATATACGACAGCCAATAACCTAAATAAAATTATTTTGAATATTTATAAAGAGGAAAAACGTTCTTTTTTTTGTTTTTATCTAAATATTTACATGAAACAAACTTGATGATTTAGAAATTATTTCGATATTTCCACATTTATCACGTGTATATGTCATCATTGTAAGTGGATAACCACCAATAATTAGATGAATAAATACAAGTTTGACAATCGAACGAAGAATAAAAGCAAAAAATAGATGCATATGAAGCAGGTTTCGGGGTAAATGAAGTCGTCTAAATGTAAGAAGACAACGGCATATAAGCGGTATATTAGGGGGAATAACATAAAAATGAGGTTTAGGAGGTCGAGGTGGAGGATATACAATTCGTTTTACATCTGATGGTTGAAGACGAAAAAGTTTGACATAGAAATAAGAAACATACTTGACATTTATCATGCATAAAACAGCAATCGTTAAGGATAGAAGCGATAAACTCAAACTCATTGTTTCTATCTTAATACTAATTGAATTAAACTAAATAAAAATTAATATAAACATTCAATAAAAAAAAAGAATGATTGAAATTTTTTCTTTTACTGTCACTGGTCGTCCTTCACCAATACATATTTTACATTGAATATCAGGTGAAGTAGTCATTGCCCATGTACCATTACTTTGACAAAAACGTTGTAGAGTACCTATTTTAATTTAAAGAAATCAATAGAAAATTTTTATTCAATAAAAGACGAACAATTTGCCACTCCATCACGAACATTATCATAAAAATTATTTAAACCACTATCATATTCTATGTCAGCCTGTGCATATGTACCATTATATGTTGTTGGCCAACAAATACGAATATCATCTTCAAAATCATATGGACATGAATATGGAGCTGAATAAAATAATTTTGTTATTATAAATTCAAAAATAAAAATATTTTACTCCGTGATGTATTAAGAGATTTTAATTGACGACAACGCAAATATTCACGAAAATGTTTATTTGGTGGAGTCATTATAGTCTAAGATAATTCTTTAACAAAATAATACAAATACAAAGTAGCTTACTTTGCTTGACGGTGTACTCGTATTAGTCATATTGTTTGTTTTTGTTCCCTAGAAAAAATTCATAATTTTTTCTTATGAAAATAATCATTCGATTAAAATTTAAGTATTTTATACAAGCTAATAGATATAAAACAAAAGATTTGTATCTAATTAAATTTTTGTGAAATGATAATTATATAATAACTCACATCTTGAAAACGTAGAAGAGGAGAAAGTAACCAAGATGTCATCATTTTTTAATGATGTCTTTCAAAATGATCTATAATTGATATTAAAAATTCCGATGAAATATTTAATATTCTCACCAAATCAAAGAAAAACAATTTTGCTATACAATCGACGTCTATAAGAATAGCTTAGTACTATATATCAAGATAAATACGTTTGTGTTTTCTTATTCTCTACGCGTCACAGATACAATAAGTAAGGGATAGATAGATAGACATATATATGTACTCTTTGGGCTCTTTTTCTTCCAGATGTGGAAATTAGATTTCTACTAGGATAAGTATATTTTCTGTTCTGGTATTTAGTATGTGTTAGCACTACTAAAGAAAATAAATATTCGTAAAACAAAAAGAACATTGATAAGAAATTCAACTGTCATAACATGCCAATATATTAATCTAATCAACTATTAAACTATAATATCTATTACATGCAAAAGAAAATTTTATTTTTTTTTCTAATACATACATACTTTTTTTTTCGATAAAGCTTGTTTGAGATATTTCTAAAAAATTTAATAACTAATCTCATGCTTAACTGTCAATTTATTTTTGTAAATAAAATATAAATCACATCTATATTCTATTTCATACCTTAACTTTTTCGTTCAACGATAATTTTAATGATGTTGTTTCGAGAATTGTATCGTTCTAAAACAAAAGATAAATTATTGGGTATTTTTTTAATTTTCAAAAATCACGAGTGAGGATTAGAAAAATGGTAATTTGAGTACCATTTTCACGAGAAAAATATGCAGCTGACTATATATATTTTTTATTTTATTCTATAATAATATATTTTTCGAAATTTTTTCTTCTTTTGTTTTTATTTTATTTACCTGTCCAATTAATTCTTGTTTTGTAACTTGAAATAGATCAATAATTAAGGTAATAATAATTATAAATATTAAATAACGATTCATTTTTATAAAAATAGATTCTTCGTTTTCTTTAACAATTGAAATATATGATAGTAAGAATTTTGTCCATGATTCTTTTTTACTCTTGCTGATAGTTATAGAAGTATAAATTCGTTGGTGTCAATTACGCGTTTGTCGATTGAAACGTATAGACCTTGTTATTCTACTCTTCTATCAAGCAATTCTTTCTTTTTAAGGACTAGAATACGTGTATGTTACGCCTACTAAAGAAAGATATGAAGAAAGAAGAACGAGTTGATAATTGGCATGAAATGCGAATACGTATACAGTATTTGGAACTGTTGTTTTTTTCATTGTTTGTACTGGAAAGACATTTACATTCAAGCTACGCAAGAGGGAAAAGAGGGTAATTGAAGAGGTTTGAATGATATCTGCCACTAACATCAATTCTCAATGTCTTGTAGTAATAGAAAGAGACGAAGAAGAAAAGATTTGGAGGCTAGTGCAAACGACCTCCTCAAAAATATGACATACTTTTTCAACACATTTGATTGCCATGTTATCTTGGTTAGTTTACAAAAAAACAAGTACCCTATCGATGGCGTCATAGATGATAATTGGTTATATAAAACAAAACAAAGGAAAATCACTCTTTCTTTTTCATGTAAATTCAACTATTCAGTAAAAAATAACAAAACAAGTTTACATCTGCTGCAATAAGTTAAAAATCGAAAACATTTTCTTTTTCTGCCAATTAATAAATCATTCGAAATAACTATTTGATTTAATTTTAGTGTTTTCTTCAATTAATTTAATCAACCGTCAAATTAGATTATAAAAAAACTTTCTTCTTGATTTGTTTGATAAATATTTTTTTCTCTTTCATCTCACAGGACGTTTTTCTTTTTGAGTGATCATGGATAAGAAATTAACATAAATGTGTTTCTTATCTTAGTATGTTATTTAATGAATTTTTCGAGATGTTCTACATAGCACATAGGAAACAAGAAAGAAAGAGAAATAACGGAAAATGCACACAGCTTTTATTTCATTCAATATATATAAATATCTATATGCATAGCATGATGATGAACGTCTCGAATGATGTATTACGCATAGCAAACAGACGGAGAAATGTCTCATGAGAACATTTTTTTCATACTATTTGATATTTGATGCTCTGACTATACCCATAGTTGACAAGATCACATACATTAAGAAAGAATAAGAAGAGCAACAAAAACAACAATAGTGCAACATATAAAACAACGTAATGGAAGGCATTTTATCTATGCATGATGAAGTTTATCCATTGAAAAGTCGACGTAAAAAATCATCTACATATTTATCAAATTCTACAAATCTTAAAGAAAATACATTAAGTAAATCGAATATAATATCAATATCTTATCAATATATAAAAACAATGGTAAGTCAACGTTCAGTTTATATTCTTGGAGTATTAAATCTTGTTCTTGCTGTTATTGCTATTATTTGTGTAACACAAGCAGAAGATCACCCGGAATATTTTTCACTTGTTTATATTGCTGTAAGTATATTTATATTTTATATGGGTACAATTATATTTATTATTATATTACAAATAATTGAAACATATAAAGATCATAATAAAAAAACTCAATCATCATCATCAATTAATGTTCCTTTATTAACACCACAAGTAAATATTCAATCAAATCCAGTTCTTATTCAAAATATACCAACAAAATTAGAAACTAAAACACGTTTATTACGTAGTCAAACATTACCATTAACATTATTTTCAAAAGATAGAGAAGAAAATGTACCAATAATACCATCATCATATACAGTTAAAGATTTTAACCAAATAGAATCAGCTCGATCAGCATTATTACCTAAACATGAACAATCATTTAAAACGATTCCAAAAAATTATCAATCATTTGCAGTAACAACTAATGATCAATTCTATCCATTACATACTACAACAACAACTATTAATGATAGTAATGATCCTCATGCACCATTACTTATTAAACCAATTCCATTTAAATATCCTGGAAATAATGATGATAATAATAGAACAAAAGTTAAATTCGTAGATTATGAATAGTTTTCGTTTATATGAATATTCGTAGATTCTTTTTATTTGTCTAATTATGAAGCAAATTTTATAAGATTTAGTATCAATCATAATTAATTAATTCAATAAATACATCTTCAAAATTTTACTTTAATTGATTTTAGCTCTACTTAAACCGATATTATTCATAGAATTAATTTTAATACATCAACGTCAACGGCAGTGGTGGCGCAAGGCAGCCAACATTGGGGGAGTGTAACGAAGTTTTTTGAATTTTTGGGGGGTTCAGCGAAATTTTTTTTGAAGTTTTGGGAGGTATAGCATTATCTTTGGTAAAAAACCTAAGAAGATTTGCTGGTTTTGTTGAGCAAAAAATAGAAATTTTCGAAGATTGGGAGAGGGAGTTGTTACCCCTTCGACACGCCCCTCGGTCGCGCCATCCCTGGGCATCGGACTAGAACTCATATTGTCAAAATTCGTCTCTTATATGGTTTATATTCGATTAAACTCATATTTTACATTAGTTTTTTTTCTCCTAAATACAGCAGAAGAGGGTATAAATAACAAAAGACTAGGAGTTCTATCGAATTTTAAACAGTAAACTGTACAAAATATTTCAGTTGGAAACTTTATAGTGACACTGTTTTTATTTATTTTGAACTTTGAGAAAAACTATGAACAGCTGATGAACGTTCATTATCAGTCATAGAATCTAAGCGTGCCATTGTCATTCGATTGATATCTCCTCGTTTTGATGATGATTTCCGATCTCTATCAATAAATACAGTCACAGATTTCTTCGGAACTATCGTATGTTTATCATCCATTATTTCTTGTTTTAATTTTGCTTGTCGTCGATCATTTATAATACTACAAATAATTAAACTAAGTAAAATTATTCCACAACTAATAAGAATATAAAGAAGACGAAGAATTCGTTGATGATTTGATGTGAAATTATTCGCTGATCCATAAAGAACACATCTAGCAGAAAAATTTTTATGTTGATACATCGCAATACCAATATAAACAAAATTTGTTCGATAGAAATTTGAAATAAAAAATGATTTATAAAAAATTTCATCACGAATATTTAGCCCATTCAAATAAATGGTTTCGCTAACTATATAGATTGAATACAAAATTCTTTCATTATGATAATCTAATTTTACCATATGGAAAAATTTTATTAAGTTGTTCTTGTTTAGGCCAATCATCATTTTTATATAATTTTAACATCATTTTTTCATATGTTTCAATTAATTCATCTTGATTTGAACAACGTTTTTCAGCAGCAAATTGTAATGTTAAATGAATTTGAAAGATTTTTCTACCAAGTTTCTTTCGTTCATGATTTATTTCATTGAATAAATCTAGTTGATTTTTATTTTCGAATATACATGATAAGAAATCGATTTTTACAAAGAAAATAAAAACGATAAGCGCAGCATGCATAAGAAACAGAAAAAAAAGAACTTTTTTTTTTATTTTATCTGCTTAGATACTATAGTGATTTATATTTAAAAGAAAAAACAAAACAAAATTAATTTGACAAGATTTTGCTTATCGATCAGTAGGTTAAAGACGCGCATTATTCATTTTTCCATTTGGATTATTTATATTAGCAGCTGCTGCACGTATTTGCATTTGACGATGACGAACTACAATATATAGAACGAGAAAATTTTTATGAATATATTTAGCATATTTTTACTTTGATCAATTAAAAATGAACTACCAAACCCATCATTAAACGCTATTTGATTTATTCGCATGGGTTGTTGTTGCTGTTGCTGTTGTTGTTGTTGTTGTAGTAGTTGAGATTGTTGTGGTGGTTGTTGATTAGTAGTTAGAAAGCCAGGAAAATATTCGCTTAAATTTGCTGATGATACATTCTGTTGCTATAAAATTAAATAGTTAGTTTATTATTCTTCGTTATATCCTGAGATGCTCTCTATACTTAAGCAGACAAGAATTTGGAGAAACGCGTTTAAACGCCCAAATGGGAACCGCAATTGTATCTCATTCATGCTCGAAAACAAAACGCCGTTTTATCGTTTTTTTCCATATAGTTTCTAGTTTTTGAATGTGAAAGCGACAAAAAGAATCTAGTATTTTGAGCGTTACAATGCACTGCTTTCAGATTGAGCGTTTAAACGCGTTTCTCCAAATTCTTGTCTGCTTGGGTATTTATGATATCGAAATGAGTAATACTAGTCTCTCTTGTTCTTTGATAGGTTAGTATTACAAATGCACCTTTCTCTATCTTCGCAGTATTATGTGGCATCAAATTAATGATTCTATTGATACTGAAATGTATTTTTAAAAAAAACATACCAAATTTTCTGCATAATAAACTTCCGCTCTAAATCGTTCTTCTTCGGAAATAAGTTGTTCATCGAGTATCTGTATTTGTGGTAATTTATGCATAACAAAAAATCGATAAGATGATTTACGAGACACCTAATATGAAAAACAAATATCTTAAATTATTTATTAAAAAATTCAAATTATTTACCGGGTTGTTAATAAAAGATAATTCATTAAGACAAAGAAGTTGATTTAATCTTTCTATTTCAATTGTTTCCTTTAAATATAAAATATTTCTTTTTCAAATTAAAAATATGAAATTATTTACTGGAATTTTATTTGAACCCAAAAAGAGTTTTTCTAATTTAATCATTCGATCAAAAAATGCTAATTCTCGAATACGATTTTCTTCCAAATGTAATTCAACAAGATTTGTTTGATAGAAAAATGATGTTTCAGTTATAACACGAATTTTATTTTTATCCAACACTAATTCACGTAAATTACGTAATGCTTCAAGACCTTCAACTTTTGTTATTTCATTTCCTAAAAAAATATTTTTTTCTAATAAATTAGATTTTTCTAAAAAATTCAACCTTGAAGAAATAAAGATCGTAATGATGGAATTTTATTTAATTGAAGTGCAGCAAGATCAGAAATATTATTATAACTAAACAAAAAACGATAAAGAAAAGAATTATTTTCTAAAATTAACTTACGCTAAGTGAAGAACTTCAAGATTTTCTAACACAATTCTATTATCAACATTTTCTATTATTGGTTTCCCTCGATGATCAAGTCGAGGTTTTGTTGGTCGATGAAGAATACTTTCAACACGATTATAGTTCAAACAAAGTACCTAACATAAAATTAAACAAAAAAAACACATATTAGTTTAAAAATATTCATCCGAATTAAATCATAAAACTTTTAAATTCGGTAAATGAATAAGACCGGAAAAATTCGTCAACTGATTATGTTCAAGATTGATACATTTAAGTGCAGGAAATTGTGCATTTAATTCAACACCACGAATCGAACTTTGCGGTAATTCAAGATTTTTGATGTCTAAAAAAATAGTATTATAAATATTTGCTCTATGAATTTCCTGTTGTTCATCATATGTCCATTTTCTCTTAGATGATTTTAAAGAAATGTTTACCTGAAAAATCACTATGTCCTAATTTTTCTACAATAAAATCCGGTGTTAATTTTCCACCAAATGCTTCTCGAGCTTCACCACTCTCTAGAAATAAAAAATTCAATTTTTATTGTATTATAATCATCTATTTTACCTTGAATTTCAACTGCAAATCCATCAAAAGCTCGTAATGTTTTTAAATGATAAATAATAAATAATCGATATTTATCTGCTTCATGACATATTGGATTACCCCATAAATCTAATATAAGTAAATTTGATAGTGTCTAAATTTCAATGAGACGAAAAAATAAAGATTTCAAATTAAACAAATATGTTCATAGTACTTTTAAATGAAAAATATCTCGAATATTTTTAATTAAATTATTTCCAGCATACAATTCGATTAATGTTAAACATCCACTTAATTTTGCTAGACTATGTAATCGATTATGATCAATAGCTAGATAGGATAATTTTATAAGATTATTTATAATATGTCCATTAATATCAGTTATATCATTTCTAGATACATTTAAACGACTTAAATTCGATAGATTTTCAATACCATCAAGTGCTGTTAAGAAATTATTTTCAACTGATAATTCTTCTAGTTTAACAAGTCCTTCAAGACCCTATGAAGACGAAGAAAACAACACTAAAAAAAGAAGTTTTTCATATGAAAGAGTTTTACTTGTATTTTTATTAAACAATTATTATCAAATGATGCCCAACGTAAACAAAGCATATTCGATAGATCAGGTAAGTGTGTTAGATAAATATTATTTAAACATAAACTTGTTACTTTTGACATCCAATAAGTATCATCAATTTTCGGTTGATGAACACCAAGAGGATCATTAGTATAGATATCATAATATTTAGCAATAAAATAACTACGTAAATCTCGAGGACGATGTGGATAAGTACGACTATGTAGAATTAAATTGTCCTTAAAAAAACATTTCATTATATAATTTATTTCAAAAAATTTATTTACAAGAGAACATGATTGATCTGGCTGACATTGTTCAGCTTGTTCACGTTCATCAGGAGTTACATTTGTACCATCGATTGCCACTAAAGTAGGTAACAATGCAAGAGTACGAGCACGATAGCTTTCGAGCTAAACAAAAAAAGTATTATCCTAAGATATTTCGATTCATAATTAATAATCAATGGTATATTATAATATTTTCTGTGTTTTATCTACGGATGGGCGGCGTTCATCCGAACCATTTCAAAACATACAGCTACTGTATTTTTTCCGGTGGGCGGCGCCCATCCGCTGATCTCAAGATAACATTACTATGATTTTCAATATCTGAATCTATTCTTACTTTATCAAATGGATTTCCACGAAGATCAAGATTTAATATATTTGGACAATAACGTTTCAATATTAATATTTCATCCAAAGATTTCTTCAGAAAATTATTTGTTGCAATAAAATATGTTAATTTCGTTAAACCTTTTATTCCATCTAATGTAATTAATTTATTATAACTTAAATCAATTGATTCAAGTGAATAAAAATAACATAAATCATCTAATTTAACTAAATCATTGAAAGCTAAATTCAATGAACGAAGATTTTTTAAATTTGATAATATTTTTATTGATTGTAAATTACAACAAGCTAAATTAAGTTCAATGATATTCGATAACGTTTTTTCATGAGTTATTTGTAAAAGACTTTCTTCTGTTAATTCATTTCTAATAATATTTTAAATAAATACAATATAATTATAAATAAATAAATTATTACGAACATTTTTGGTGGAAGTTCATCATCTTTTGATGGTAATATATAATTATCATGATTTATTTCATCAACATATGTTGTAACAGTTGTTTCATCCATTTTTCCAAGTTTTATTCGACTTATTTGATCACTAAGTGTATTATTTGCAACCTAATATTAATTATAAATCGAACTTTAGTTTTATATGAGAGATAATTATCTTACAGAAAATAAATATTCATATTCAATTATATATTCAGCATAGGCATGTAATGGATCAAATATAAACCATTGTTGTTGTTGAGCTCCGCAATCACAATGTTCTTTAAGAGAATATTATTAGATAGAGAATATGTTTTTGTTATGAATACCTGTTTTTGAAACGATACGTTCAGGAAAAGAAACATGACGAGATAAACTAGCATAATTTGGATAATTTTTAGGAGTTATACTAAATAATCATAATAAAAAAGAATTTATTAGTTAATAAAGTCTAAGAGAATTAGCGACATAAATGAAATTATTCAATAAATAACTAACCTTGAATCTGCTTTGTATTCTGGAAATGGTAATCTATAAAGAAATATATTTTTTCTCTTTGTATTATTTTCATTGTAATAAAGACTAACTCTTTTGCTTGTGCCGTTGTTGAGGAACCAATATACACTTTTGCCAAAAGAACGCTACCTTTAAACAAAAATTTATTTAGAAAAAAAATTCATTGTAAATAATTATGATTAGTTACCAAAACGATATTTATCTCGATTATGAGAACCGGCTTGTTCAATTCGAGGATAATCACATACAGCAAGTGAATTTGAAAACGTTACAGCTTCTTCATGATTCAATTGCTAATTAAAAATAATATTTTATATATGAATATTCAAGAATATTTAATCAACTTTATATATATCAGTATTTGGAAATCCATGTTCGCAAATAGATTCTATAGTTGTAAATTGATGCATATGATTATTTTGATCACGACGTAATGGTTGTGTATTATAGAATAGATATTCAAGTTTCGATTGAATTGACTTTGTTCTAAAACAAAATTGTAATAAATTTATTTTTCTTTTCAAATATTTTCTACTTTGCAGAATCTTCTTCATCGTCAAGAATAAAATCTAGACTATGATCAAATTGTAATTTCTTCGGTCGATTAAATAATCGCGTTATACGATGAATTTTAATACCAGTTATATTATATCGATTATAGATTGCTGAACAAAAACGTGAAAGAAGAAGATCTTTCGCAGCATTATACCTAAAATAAGAAGAGCTTTGTAATTTTTAATCTAAATCATATTTTTTTATTGATTTACCAAACATCATTAACAGTTCCTTCTTCAAAACGAATATTTCCTCCACTAATCAATTCTAATTGAATACGTGATGCAAGTTGAGCTTTTTGTTGAAGTAAAATAAAATGTGCAATATCATATTGAACATTCAGACTAGATTAAAGATATATATAATTATTTCAAAGATAAAAATAATATTACCTATTTAAAATATTTTGCCAAATAACTAATCTTTGTCGTAGAAGTTCAATTTGTTTTTCGAATTTTTCACGTTTATTATGCTAAAGAAGAAGAATATATTAATGTTTTTATCTTTCAAATCAAATCATATTTACATCACCAGTAGCAGTACGTGCTCGATGATTTGTTTCTGGTACATGTAATTCTTGTTTGTAATGTTGAAGACATTTCATTAATAATCGTGTATGTTCTTCTGGTACATGTTCATTTTTTTTCCGTAATTGTTTTAATCGTATTTCAAATTCATCATATTCACGTTCTAATGTTTTCGATTTCATATGATACCACATTTTCTTTTTTGTTACGGTAGCCTAATATGAATTATTAGGAAAATATATTTTCGTAAATTCTCTTACTTCCGCTTGTTCAGCAACTTGTCGTGTAGATATATGTAATCCATCAATATATTCAAGATGTGGTAAATGATATAAAATATGAACATGATAATTTGCCATTGAAGCAACCGGACTTTTCGCTCCATAAACAGGATCACTAAAAGCAATATTCCGTAATTTTGGTAATGCTGTTAATATAGTAATATCCTTAAATAAATAAATATATATTTTGTTTTCTTTTTCGAAATAGTTTTTATTACTTGAAATGAACTTATTTTATTATCAGCAAGATTTAATACTTGAAGTTCAGTATTTTCAGCAAGTGATGTACCTAAAAATAATTATTTAGTTAAATTTTATAAGATAATCGAAAGAATAAACCAATAAATTTAATTTGATTTGACGCAAGATTGAGATCTTTTAGATGTTTTGCACCGGATAATCCCTTATATAATAATAAAAAATGAAATACAAATAAAATCAAAATAATAAACATTCTACCTCGATTTTCGTAATTAGATTTTCATTAAGCCACAGGTGTTCGAGTCGTTGTAATCCATCAAGACGTTCGATTGTTTTTATTGCGTTGGCGTACAAATATAAACGTTGAAGGTGGATACATCTGTTCAGACCTTCAATTTGCTGCAAATAAAAATAACAATAATAGTATACCTGTTCTTCAAGTACATATATTTAATCATTCTATTCGAAGTACTATTTACAATAAATCTGATAGCCTTTACATATATGAATTATTCTATTGAAGTATTGTTTTGTATGCAAACGGTGTCAGGCTTTATAGCCTTGTAATATAAGACTTGTTTATTTTCAACAACACATATATATTTGATTAATATTTTAAGTTAAGACAGTTATCAAAAGAACTAAGGTATGTACTTACTGTAAGCTTTGATTCCGTAATCCAAAGTTCTTGTAAATTAATACATGTTTCTAAACCTTCTATACGTTCGATATTTTGATTAACAATAACGAGTTTTATTAAATTTGGAAATGATTGAAGAGTTATAAGACGAGGTAAACCCGAAAAAAACATTTCGAGCACTTGAACATTTGAATCAATTCCATTATGATTACGATGCAATGCATTGTAATTAATTCCATTTGAATCACACTATAAACATAAAATAATTATAATTGATAAGCAGTTTAGATTAAGAAAAAAAATATTTATTAATTCATTTTGACAAATATATAGATAATAATTCTATTACTTACAATATCTTTGAGTATATTTTCGTCTTCGACACTTCTCATTTCTTTTATACATTAAATAGAAAAAAATTGTTTGACATGTGTTTGCATTTAACTATGTAAATGAGCTTTTTTTTTTCTTTTTTCTTCTTCTCCTTCCATATTTCATCTCACGATTTTTTTCTCTTTATGTTGCCTGGTGACACCGTTATATACTTACCTTTTGTAACGCTTATGCACTTTATTAATGAATGATTTAAGGAATTATTTCTTGAGAAAATATACTGAACATTTACACATTGAGATTTGTGTATATGCAAAAAAAAATTTAATAAGAATCTTCGAGTTATTTTTATTGGTTAATTTCTTCTCCTTTCTCGGTATTGACGCGCTATTACTGTTCATTTGGCATTAGATGAAGTCTTATACAAATAAAAGAATTTTATCGTTTTTCAACTTAAATACAAAAGTAAAATTGTTAAATTTCATTATGTTATCAACATTTGTCTATTTAAATCATGCTCCTTAATGCCGTTAAGATAAAACGTATGTCATATAGTTACTTTCTTGAATAAAGTACAATAGTAGTAGAATCATTCTCACCATTCCTGTATGTATATGGTACATCAAGCATGACATGTGCCCAC